CCACTAACAAGTCTCCGTTCCTATGTAAGGAACCTTTTTGGAGATCACAGTGGCAAATTACAATCGGAATCCTCTCTGAGAGAATGCACATGAGTTCCAATAGATAACATGTTGGAGATGTTGACATTCTGCGTGCAAACAGTATACTAGCAAATGGATTTCGAAATATATCGACAGAAAGAAGTTTTACCAATGGGATCGCCATTATCGCCAACAATGGCAAACATATAAATGGAGAACTTCTAGGAAATTAGTATAGAAACGTCACCACTTAATCTACTCACGTGGCTTAGAAACGTAGATAACACCTTCATTACCACCACAAAAGATGTGCAAATACAGCTGGACCATTTAAACTCAATAAAACTTTCCATACAGCTCACAATAGGAAAAGAAACATAATATCATCTGGCCTATATTGGTTTACTGATAACTTGCTGAAAGTGTGGGTTCAAGACATCTTGTCACTCAAAATTTATCGGACAACAGTTAGACATCAATTCAATACAGAGCCAAGAAAGATCGCCCGCTACCTACAACATCTCGGGCCAAAATTATAAGCGATGACCCAGACACATGCCAAGGGGAGGTAATCAATATTAGAAACACTCTTCGAAGTGATAACTCTTCTACGGGCATAGCATCAGCTTCGACGAGTAGAGAGAGAATCAAAGACAAGAATAAATGTTTTTAAAAAATCTGGCACGTCCTCTCTACTAAATGTTAAGGGTACATGTAAAAAGATCTGCTTTCCATCTACAAGGACGATATTCACATACAACCGTAGGTAGGGAGCAACCCACTCCTAAAAATAACAATGGAGAAATACGGGAATGCTAGTTTGGGGAAAACACTGAAATCAGGCATGGCTGATCATATATGGAGGGCAAAAGTGGTCATCAGCTTCTGTGGAATTAAAGATAAAATGAAACAACACTGGATAAGATGGTTGAAAGAATCAGTGATTGTTAGTCACTAACAACCTCCTCAGTAGATTTAGTATAAAGATGAGTAACACATGAAAGACTCTTATTAAGAAAGGATACTAAAAAATCTAGCATCAGTGTCAAGATATTCATACAAATACACGAGCAAGGTACTGAAATTGGGTTTAAGCTTCCAAGAGTGAAGAACTAGAAAGTCTAGTCTACTGGATCTCAACCTTTTTGCCCCATGACCCCTTTTCACCATAAGTCAGATTGTCATCTAGACATCATCTTCAGGCTGTCCACCTCAAAAAGTGCATTTCAAATAAAATGCATATATTAATGAAAATTTTCATTCTTTTCCGTATTAATACATTTACATTGACGTGGATTATTTTTATAGAGGAATTTTACAAATTTAATAGCAATAGAAAATGTTGACGGATTTTAAAACTTGTATACATCTACAATAACTTGTCTTAATTCATGACTAATTATTAAATAAACTGAAGCAGACTCCAATAAAAGAAAGATTCAATAGAATGCCAGGGTATTTCAAATCAATAGACCAAGATTTCAATAAAATGTCAAGATATTTAAATCGATTTTATTCTGATAGAGATTACAATCAGACGTAACGTGTCTTGTGCAAAGTAGACCTGACGTAGACTCTATTACCGGTCAGAACACAGCCAAAATCCTTCAATATGGCCCTTAATTCCGGGACAGGTGTTCCTATTTAAAATAAAATGAACAAGTCTTAGTCACATTTTCTGGGAGAGAACATATAATCTGGTAATATCAGCAATATTTTAACGTTACGCTCAAACACTCGGTCACGATGACTTGTTACTTAGAGCTAGCACAATAGCTGAAAGCTACCGAACAGTTGAACCATTCTAATTTTGCTCACAAGCTTGAATCAATCATTGCTGCAGTCTTGAATAGTCTTCCCAGGTTGATACTGTGAAATCGAGCATAGTGATATTTGAGCACGTGTCTCGTGTCTGGAATGCAAACTGATTTTATATATAGAGTAGGGATAATTCCAAGGAGGACATGCATCCAAAGAGAGTTCAATATGTAAGAACAGAGCAATAATAATAATGATGAGTCCAGACGATCCTTAAAAATCCATTCCGTTATAATTTATTTCATGAATATACAAAAATATATTCATTTCTTCTGATCGACGTTTTCTTAATAAATGGAGTCTATTTATCCAGACGAACGGAAAAGGGAGAGGAAAAAAGAATAAAGAAAAAGAAAAAGTTTTAATATTAAAAGAGGAAGAAAGAAAAAGAAAAATTTCAATATAAGATTTTCAAAATTATTTTTTTATCTTTTATTTTTTAATATATATATATATATAGTGTATCAAAATACTTTTATAAATCTTAGGGGTAGGTTCCTAACAACAAAACAAGGACAAAAGTCCATATAAACATATGCCTGCATATCGTTCGTTTTTCAGTTAAGTTTAAAGAAAGTTTACCGTAGTTGGCGCTGTGTTGCCATATAGATTTGGTAACATTTATCATTCGTCTACATTTGTGTTTAGTTAGTTTTCAACATCTAACGTGTTTAGTAGTAAGTTAACTGAGAAGTGTTCCGTTTAACAATGACAGGCTGTTATCAGATTGAGTTTCCAGAACAAAGGCAGCAGAATCATCTAACTTTTGCTGCTGCTTATTGTCGCGTTGCTGAGACAGAATCTGTGGCACCACAAAATATGGATCGAGATAGACCGATTGTACATTTAACAGCGGCTACCGTAATCTTAAACACCATATTCAAAAACGAAGGATTTTTGGATTGCTTCGCCGAAAGTAAACAAATAATTGTTGTTTAATTACGGATTACGTAATGATTATAAAATTTTGGTAAAAGAACTAAATGATTTTTTTTTTTTTTTTTTGCTTCCAGGAGGTTTAGGTTGTTGTTGATTTGGAACAGAAAATAAAGTTTATTGACTCCTGTTTTCTCTAAACTGTATAACAAATGCCTCCCGCTTTCCTGCCAGCTGGAAGTCATCATCTGTTGTTCCCGTTTTTAAGAACTCTGGTGAACCGTCTGACCCTTCCAACTATCGGCTTATTAGTTTTCTACCTCTTTTGGAGAAACTCCTAGAGGCCTTATTCACTAATGAATTGGTTCATCATCTCTCATCGCAGGGCCTTTTATCAGACAAGCAATACGACCTTCGTTTCTCCAGGTCAGTTGCTGATGTACTAAAGATAATTGCGGAAAGTGCCCATCATGGTTTAGATAAAAATGTTGAAGTCCGGACTGTAGCAGGGGACATCTCGAAAGCCTTTGACAGGGTCTGGCATTCAAACAAACTAAAAAGTTAAAGTATCTCCGGGCACATTTTTGAGCTGATCCAGTCGTTCCTATCAAATCGTGAAATGAAAGTTGTCTTCAACGGCCACTCGTCTACATCATTTCGTACTAACGTGCGTGTCCCCCAGGGCTCCGTCCTTGATCCTAGGCTGTTTTTAATCTTCATTAACGACCTTCCCGATGACACCAGCTCTCAATTTGGTATCTACGCTGATGACACAACTATTTACTCCTGTCTCGATACTAAAGCTGATTAGTCCGACAAAGTCAAAATGGCAGCCGATGTCCAAAATGACCTTAAGTCAGTCGTTAACTGGAACAAAAAATAGCTTGTCAATTTTAACGCCTCCAAAAGCAAACTTCTTTCCATTAATCATCTGAGAGATCTCTCTTTGTCTTCCGTCAACATGGCGGATGCTAACCTCCAGGAAAGTGTACTCGTTGCACCTTCTCGGGCTAACTTTCTCAGCTGACATGAACTGGAAAAACTATATTATATCCATTGTTAGCTGCTAAAAAGGTCGGTTCACTGTATCGGGTGAAAGTGTTTTTTCCTCTCCAGAATTTCTTACATATCTATAAGTATACTTTTCGTCCATGCTTAGAATATTGCTGCCACATATGGTCCGATGCCCCTGCTATTTACCTTGAGCTACTTGATAGAATCCAAAGAAAAATCAGCAATATTATTGGTCCTGATCTAACAGCTCATCTTCAGACACTTATCCACTGCTGTAAGGTTGCCTCTTTGTACATTTTTTTATAAATACTTTTATGGTAACTGTTCGAATCAGCTCTTCGCTATGGTACCTCGACTGTATGAATTTAAGCGCAATACTAAACTGGCGGCGAGATCACATCAATTTACAATTGAGCTAACGAGATGGAGCCGTAAGTTCTATGCTAACAGTTTCTTTTTTCGCACTTTTCGTTAATAGAATTCCCTTCCGGTCCCATACCTTCCAGCCAACTTTAATCTGCAAAAATTTAAATGCAATGCCAATTATTATCTACTGTTCTTCTGATTGCGCTTTTCTCTTTCTACTCATTTCTAATTTTTCTGTTCCTAATTCTTCCACACCCTGTAACCCCCTGCATGTCCTTGCTTGGAGTGATGCCGATTGAAAAAAACAAAGATGTCTCAAATTTTTGTCAGCTAAATGGTCATAGTCCGATGCATGAGGAAAAAGAAGAGAAATAAATTTTTCTCTTCTGTCAGAAGACAACATCGCAAGCCATAGATGTGCTCAATGTGATAAAAGAATTCTTTACAGGAAACTAACTTCAGCTTGACAGAATTAGTTTAATATGAACTGATGGTGCACCAGCCATTCTATGCTATCCTTCACAATTTCGTGCATTGATAAGAAAATAAATTCTTAACTTGAAGAGAACCCATTGCTTTCTTCATCAGTACGCTCTTAAACATTGAAATTCAGCAAATTCTTTGCGGTCAGGGACAAGAACTGGCTGGATATTCTGATGTGCCTGAATTTGTTCAAATGCTTGCCTATTTTGGCTGATTTTATCTGCAGGAAAAAGGTTTCAGCATTTTGGTTGAAAGTAAGAAGATGGCTGCATTCAAAGAAAATCTTGTTTATGTGTTTAAAGAAAAGGAACATGATAAATGTCCCCACCCTTGAAGAGAGACAGGCACAAAACAGGCTTCCCTGCATTCGGACGTTGTTTCAAAATTTGCCTGGTGCAATTCTGGTCTTCTCAGTTGGAAACATATCCTGTACTGGCAAAAAAGATCCCGCCGTGCTGCTGCTGCCTTTCGCAACAACAGGCGGAAGTGGATTTTGCTGCTTGCTTGACGTCAAAACCAAGAGAACAGAAATCGACCGGATCCTCAACACGATATGCGAGTAGCATTTACAGCAACAAGACACCAAGATTTGATATCATCATAAACAGAAAACGATGGCAACAAAGTCACTGAGACTGTTACACAACAAGAATCATTTACAACGCACGACACACAGTACAAGCACATGTTACCATAATTTTATATTGTTAAGAATATGACAGCAATCTAGGTTTTCTAATGCATTCTTTTGTTAGTTATGTAAATGAAGATTAAAGAAACAAATTGTTTTTGTTATTACACATGAGATCGATATGAGGTGGGGGGGGAGAATTAGTTGGTGATTAGAAAGGTGTACGAGAACTGTTTGGGAGTTTGAAAGGTGTACGAGAACTGTTTGGGGGTTTGAAAAGTGTACGAGAACTGTTTGGGGGTTTGAAAAGTCATACGAGAACTGTTTGGGGGTTTGAAAAGTGTACGAGAACTGTTTGGGGGTTTGAAAGGTGTACGAGAACTGTTTGGGGGTTTGAAATGGGTTCGTTAAATGGTAGGTGGTTTCAAAGGGGTGTTAGAACTGTATTGTTGTTTGAAATTGATGCGAGAACTGGTTGGTGGTTTGAAAGGGATGCGAGAACTGGTTGGGGATTTGAAAGAGGTTCGTGAAATGGTTGGCGTTTGAAAAGGGTGTTAGAACTGGATGGTTGTTTGAAAGTGGTCCGTGAAATGGTTGGGGACTTGAAAGTGGTGCGAGAACTGGTTGGTGGTTTGAAAGGGGTGCGAACAAGTAAAAAGATTAAGAATCATTGCATTTGGGTGTAAGGGGCACAACGTGTATTGTAGCTGCAGCAGAAGTGGTGTCTTTGTCAAGATAGACTGACGGAGCCCGACCCTTTTGGTTTGAATTCAGAGTTTACCTTATCCTAGAGAAGCCTATACAACCGAGTCTTTCCTGTTATTTACCCATAGTTGGGAGAGTTCATACCTTTCCCAAGGGGATTAGCCCGTAAGTGAATGTAATGAAATCGATTGGAATTCGAACTCAGTTCACCGATTCCTCAATCGGCTCCGCAATGTTTGCCAAAATTCGTCTTTATCTTTTCATCCAACATTGGAACAAAATATTTTATTCCAATGTAGTATTTGTTTGTATTTTCTATCAATTCGTTCTCCAGGTATCTATCTATTACGGTCTGTTCATATCTATCTATCTATCTATCTGTTCCTATCAATCTATCTATATGGATCTGTTCCTATCTATTTGTCTGTCTGTCTGTCTGTCTCTCTCTCTCTCTCCCCATCTGTCAATCTACATCAACCTGTTCCTATCTATCTATCTATCTATAGGTCGCTACATTAAGATAAGAAATATCTCCACAACGAAAAATAAAAGCAAAAGATACGTTGAGTCAAACTTCAATTGATTTGTATAGTTCTCGGTGCAGCAAAAGTTAACCCTTCCTGCATCAATCACTATAGTGACACTGGACATCGTCTAAAGTTTTGGGTTCAAAGTTCTTGAGAAGATATCTGGTGACAGTTGATGTGGATTCAAGACACCCTCAATACGGGATTCGCAGCGCAAGTCTTCGAGTTCTCCAAGTTATCTGCTTATATGCACTTTGGCCCAATACAGGCGTGGGGCAGAAGGATTCTGGGGATTCGGTGATTCCTCAATTTTTATATTAATCTCAAAAAGAGTTCTATGTTTCCTATTTCTGCTTTCTTAATCAACTTTCCAAAATTGGTGAATTATCGACCTTCTTGTGAATAGTTATAGGGATTGCTCCTCCCTTCTACTCCAACATGCTTCACTTTACATCTCGTACCATCACTCCATACCAGTGGTGTTAAATTCTCTAAAACAGTGCTCAATGTAAATTTACAGAGCATAAATATAATAAATTAACTGATTTAAAAAAAATATAGTCTATTAAAAATTAAAGGTGAAAATATTTTAAAATTGCAGTTAAATAAAACGTATTCTAACCTAAACATCCCAAAAAAATCTTTAAGTATACAAACAGAAAAAATTGCCGAAAGAATTTTTTGCCGTTAAAAAACTTTTCTTAAAAAGACCCAGACGGCATGCATTTAACGAATGTCAGAATTCGTTGAAAAATACATCACTAACCTCCCTAAACTTAACCCCTTTTTCAAACGTAACTAATAACTGATACAATAAAAGTTAATAAAAATGAACATGCTACCACCCCTTGTCTAAATGATTGTATTTCTTTGTATTCTTGGAAACAGAAAATTATGAATTTTTCTGGGCGGTTAAAACTCAGTATTTTTAAAAAATAAGTTACTCCAAAATTCGCTTGAGGATGAAATGGAACTAATGTTTTTAATTTAATTACAAAATTAAATTTGAAGTTTTTAGCCTCCATTTTTGAAACATGGTTACTACTGTGTAGCGAAAAAAAATCTTATTTTAAATCTGTTAATTTATAATAATTAAAATATATATATATATATATATATATATATATATATATATATATATATATATTGATTTAAAGAAAATGAATTTCTTTTGTATGACCATTTTTTTTTTGCAGGACCTAGGTAACTTTCGGCCAACGCTTCATCAGGGTCTTTCGTTGGCAAATGATTTTTGAACAAATAATGGAAATGAAAAGAACGCCAAAATGATATGGTTGGAACACATCTAAATTTTACGAAGATATATATACGTAAAATTAAAATAAATTTACGATTAAAACAAATGCGTAAATAATGAATTAAATGAACCAACCTGAGCAGTAAATAGAAAAAAAAAGTTGCTCATATATCAAAAATAAATTTAGCGATCGTGAAAAATTCTCCTTTTGTTTAGAAAGCGATGGTTTAAATAATTTGAGGCAGATGGAGATAAAATAGACAGATGATATTTGGACCTGCCTACGCATATAATAACAGAAAAACGAGTCCATTGTGAAACGTTTTGAGCATGACTCATTTTCTAATAGGTGTTGTCCGATATTGATTTCCGAATCGTGAGCTTAAAAATCGCGTTTATCTAAATTCAATTAAATGACGCGATTCGATTAAATTCAATCTAATGTGTCTGGGTACATGTTGTCCGATTCTTGTTTCCAAACGAATCACATGTTCGCCCTTTTATATTCAGCTTCGCATCCTGACATTTGAAAAATTTATATATAATCGAACTTTTTATTGGTTTTGATAAGGCAAACGATCATTTTAAAAATCAACGGAAAAACATTGTTTGACCCAAAATAAAAGACAATTTCAAATACCCCCAAAATTTGGCCCAGGTCTTTGCCATTTTTTATCTGAAATTCCTTGGCTGGGCAGAAAATCATAAAATTTTGACTGATATCAGAAATTTTGGAAAATATTGAAATTCTCTATTTTTGCTTTATTGTGCGGTCAACAATGTTGGCTGGAAAACCATTGATAAAGTTTCGGATGTTGTTTCTGCTACCTTCTTTTCGGCCAAGGTACGTGTTGTCTTTGGTACTCGTACTGTTTTTCCGTCTTTTTCCAAGGATCGTTTGCCCTATCATAATAAAAGTTCGATTATATATAAATTTAAATGTCAGTGCGAAGCTGAATATATAGGGCGAACATGTCTTCGTTTGGAAACAAGAATCGGACAACATGTACCCAGACACATTAGATTGAATTTAGATAGTCGCGTTCGTGTTTCGCAATCAGCTCACGATTCGGCGATCGGACAACACCTATTAGAAAATGAGTCATGCTCAAAACGTTTCACAATGGACTCGTTTTCAATTATATGCGTAGGCAGGTCCAAATATCATCTGTCTATTTTGGAAGCCATCTGCCTCAAATTATTTAAACCATCGCTTTCTAAACAAAAGGAGAATTTTTCACGATCGCTAAATTTATTTTTTGATATATGAGCAACTTATTTTTCTATTTTACTGCTCAGGTTGGTTCATTTAATTCATTATTTACGCATTTGTTTTAATCGTAAATTTATTTTAATTTTACGTATATATATCTTCGTAAAATTTTAGATGTGTTCCAACCATATCATTTTGGCGTTCTTTTCATTTCCATTATTTGTTCAAAACCATTTGCCAACGAAAGACCCTGATGAAGCGTTGGCCGAAAGTTACCTAGGTCCTGCAAAAAAAAATAAAAAAAATAAAAAAAATGGTCATACAAAAGAAATTCATTTTCTTTAAATCATTATATTTGTTTTGTGGTATCAAAACATTATTCCAATATATATATATATATATATATATATATATATATATATATATATATATATATATATATATAGTCTGTTCATATCTATCTATGTTACAATGTGCAATGGTTGACGTAGATGAAAACGAATGAGATAATAAACGCTTTATTCTTTATTAGCCAAATGTTGATTCTGACCGAGCAATGTTTTACAAAGTCAATCTTGACCATATTAACCAATTTCTTTATAAACCTCTATAGGCATGATGTCCGGATTTACATTAATCTGATATACGCACACGTAGATGTATATAGTCATATATTTCAATTGAGAAAGCTCCAGTACCTCAGAGAAATCCAACAAAAACGGGAACGAAAGACAAAAAGGTTGTTCGATTCGCTTATTTAAACAAGAGAAAAAAATGTCTATTTTTGTCAAGTGCCCTCTTGACAAATATTTCCATAAAGAATGCACCGAGTGCAAAGCCTTGTCCAGAAAAAAAAAAATCTTGATAAATAAGAGCAAATAAAAGGGAAAGACAGCAGTGAACCCATTGTGGAAAATAGGTCAATATGGCCGGTGTATTTGCTCAAATCAGATAAGTTGGAGCCCAACAACTGAAACCCAGCTGAAATACAAGATATCGAACGCTAATATACGTGTCCTGTTTGCTCGTACAAGTCTTAAAGTCTATCCTATAAGATGCCGTAGTCGACGTTGGAGAGGTTTAGTTTATGGCGGTAATTGTTGCATATTTATCCAAATCTACCTGAACTCATGGTTGGAGTACAGGTGAAGGCCATTATTTTGAATGTAACATTTTTACTTTCATTGATTTTTCACAGCAAATATTTGGCGCAGCATACTCTTATAATTCTG